CAGATGCACCCATACAATCCCCCAGTGTCAGCCCCCCGTTACTAAAGCCACAGCTCCTCTGCTTCACTGAGCCCCCCAACCCCACTAGTCACTCATCTGAGCTCCTGGGAGGATAAGACCAGGTCAGCTCCTATGTCACAGACCCAGCCCCCCGTGGGACAAAGACCACTCTGTGGGTCCCCCTTTCTCTGCACCCCGCCTCCGTTAAAGCCTCCAATACGTGCATGGGAACCAAACCATGATAATCTCCTGCTCAGGTGTCACCTAATAGCCAATAAGACCTGAGCTGAAGGAGGTAAAGTTGCCCCCCACCCCCACCAGGTAGATCTGATAAACACAGTTAATGGAAATGAGAGTTCATTCTGTTGGGAAACACGACTACAAAAGCACTAAGCAGGCTCCTACCTTCTCTACTGGCTACTGCTGTCGGTCAGTGCTGTGTCTGACGCCTTTATTCAATGAGGAACCCACAGCTCCTGCAGCCACCACCCCACAAATAAGGTAAGAGCTCCTTTAGTGCTCAATTACATTTGGTTAATTATGTCCTCAGTGTTTGGAGGATTGTGTGTACTTAGGTCAGTGTGGTGATGTAACATTGATGTAACTGTGAAAGTGATCATGTGGATTGTGTGTGATTGTGTGATCAGTCAAAAGGCTGTAGGTGTTCTGACAAATTCACACAGAATCATCAACAACTCTGCAGCACCATGGAGCTTTTTAACCTACTTTAGCTCCTAGTTTTGGTTTTGCAGTACCTTTTCTGTCTGGTTTAGTGTTTCCAGCAGCTTGAGTCTGCTGTACAATACCCACCCAGCACTGAACAGACATAGACATAGGTAGAGCTGGAGAAGGCAGCAGAACATCTGGACCCTAAAGAGTCAGATATGTTCCAAAGGAGTGTGGCAGAGACCAAAAGTGGAGCTAAAAGTGAAGATCAGATCCGCATTTATCAGGTAGACACAAAAATCACCACAAAGGTCATTTTTCTGCTGGATGTGGAAGTCAATAGCTGGTTGCTAATCTCTTAGCCTTTTAAAACCTCATTTGTTAGGTTGTTATAAAGTTCTGTGCTCAGTTGGAACTTTATTAACTCAGCTCAATTGTTACACTGAATTGTTGTACAATAATTCAAACCCTAACTTTAGTACAGTTTATACTGACGCCTGCTCATTATACAATTAGATAAATACATTTAATCCTGCATCATTTTGCTACAAAATCTATTAATTTCCAGTAGAATTGTTGCAATCAGCAGAGTCAGTTGGGGAACAAAGTAAATCCAGGCACATGTTCCACTTTGAATTCAAACTGTCAGGCCTGCAGTGCTGAAGGCACAAAGAGCCAGAGTGTCAGGAGCCTCTGCAGATCGTATGAACCTCTGTTTGTTGTCATTTGGATCCATTAAAGTGCAGAGCTGAACATTTCAGCTCTGAGGCTCCATTAAACATTAAATAAAGCTCATATCAGCTGCATTAATGAGGCCAGCCTGCTCCTCCACGCTGCATCAGAGGTACCGACAACTTCTCTGCTTTTAGTGAAATATGCTCCGAGCTGGAATAATGTTAAGATCATACCCCTTCACCTCGCCGAGGCGAGAGGAGCCACAGGTGGGCCCGGTTGTTTGGAGCCATTAAACACTTTGGCACAGCGAGCGAGGAAAGTCATTTGTCTCGTTTTACGTGGCAGCATCAGCGCTGTGATGACAGAGGGCGATTTATGGAGCTGAACAGTAAATTCGCTTCTCTGTTACACGTAGATCAAATACCTGAGACATTGCCGGTGCCTTCTGACAAGTTTGTCCCTGAGATTTGGTGTGAGGCCCTCACATAACCCGTCAGGTGTCGAGGTCGGCGACGGAGTTTGAGCTGAGTTTTTATAGTGATGATGGCCTGGAGCTCATTTTGTGTACTGTTGTATTAGTTAACAGATGTCCTTGACACGGGCACTGCAGCGGCTTCACGAGCCTCAAGCTCAGATGCAGGATTTCTGCTTGAGTGCAGCCTCCTGTGGCTGTGCAGAGATTTATAACGTGCAAACATAACAAACTACAGATGGTGACAGGTGAGAGGAGCCTCCTGACAGACTGAGTGAAACCCAACCAACTTGGTCACTGATCAATCAGCTGATCACTGTCCTGATGATCTGATTGATCTGTTTATCCCCAGAATGTCAGACACTGGGAAGAAGTCCCACTGTGACTCTCCAGAGCCAAAGGTGGTGTCTTCACACATCTTGTTGTGTCCAACCAGCAGACCCACAGAGACTCAGCTGATTCTCATGTCTGAGAAAGAAAAGCATCAGCTCCTCATGTTAAAGAAGGTGACTGTTGCTTCTAAATAGCTGCCAGTTCATTTTCTACCAGTGAACTGACTCGTGGCTGCAGCTCTAGGTCACTGAGTGGCTTCATGAGGACGACACAGTAGGTTGGACACAGTGAGGGGATCTGGTTTGGAAGAGGGGGGGTTTCCTCCTCCGACAGAGGAGACCTGACGACTGGAGACTCAGCCCTACTGGGCGCTGGGTGGTGGTTTGTCTGATGGTGTTTTTCGGGGGTCTCAGAACTGTCTGACTGTGGATCTCAGCTGGTTCCTGGTGAAGAGGGACGTTATTATAAATGTACAGTTTGACAGTGCAGCGTTGAGGACTATTTTCAGCAGTGGATGAATCCACAATTGGTTTCTTGTGGGTATCTGTGGCAGCAGCATGGTGCATGTGGGACCATGTCAGTGTATGTTCACAGTGATGGATGTTAAGTTTCTCCCTCTGAATGCAGGTACCAGTCATGTTTCTGATGTGGATTTTCACGCTGTCTGCTCTTCCACATGGTGAGTCTTCTGCCACGTCCCCATGAGGACATATGCCACTTCTGTCACATTCAGTCCACTAATTAAAAATGTGTTTATATTTGTTACATCAGACTCGAGCAGTTATAAGAATCCTTTTGCAAAGATTTCTGACTCAGCAGCCTGAGTTTATATCAGTCTCACAACTGAAAGGTTCTCGGTAAAGACTTAAAATTCATCTGTAAAGTGTTAGTGCATGACTTCTGGACTCTAAGCTAATAATGCATGTCATTTTGTGTTATTTGCATAATGATGTTTATCTTTTAAGGGTTCAGCTTGGGACTAGCATTAGAAATTAGCTGTAGCATGTGTCATTAGTTTGTGCAAAACACTTGCCCGTGTGCCTGACACTCAGTTTTTACTGTAGGGGAGGGAGATAAGTACCTGTCTGTGTGAAAACCTCACTAACATGTTCAAGCTTTTTTAGAAAAACTGGGGGAAAATATTTTTTCTCAGAAGGAAGTGGAGCAGTGGCCCGGGCTTCCACTTCCTGTAAGACCAGGCGGTCTTTCCTGTGATGGTTTCATGTGTTTTGAGTAGTTACACAAATATAAAAATAGTCAATTCCCTGTGTTAAATGTTGCATACGTCAGTCACGTCACTGTTCTGGCTGTTATTACCCAACTCTTTGTTCAGCGCTTTCTGCCAGCTCCATCTTCTGCCCGGACGCCGAGGCCAGCGACACAAACACAGATCACATGACTGGTGAGAACAAAGCATTATGCAGCCGGATTACAGAGAGAACACTGATTTTTATTATTGACACTTATTTGAAGGCCACGATCTGCTAACCCCTGGACTTAGGAACCTAACCTCTCACACTAACGTGGCATGTTTGAAATTATGTTGGTAATACTTGAAGAGTTTGCAAGATGGAGAAAATCGAGTTCAGGTTTGTTGTTCTTGCAGCATCTTCAGGTCCTTCTCTTTGTGCAGATTGTCTGGGCTTGCGCTTCACCTGGCTCCACTCGGTCTTCGATAATTTCCCCTCACTGCTGAAATTTGTGCTGAAGCTTCGCTGTGTGACAGGCCTTTGTCCACGCGACCTGGAAGATTATGGCTGTGTCTGCAGATACATACCAGCTGGAAACCCTGTGGATTCTCTGGACAGGTAATAAAGATTAGGTGCAGTTTCAGAGTTTGCTCCAAATCCTTCTCAGTGTCAGACTGATAAATGTCCTTTAGAGCTGGGAGTTTACAATAGGTTGCCAGTATCTCATAAACATGTGACTTAAGGTATTTTAGCCCCAGCTGATCACCTCTACATGCTAACCAAGTGTGAGCTGTGATGAGCCTCCACAGGACTGTGGTCTAAACGGGCATCACGTTATACTGCTACTGTGGGTGTTGGGATGGACCCTTAGACCCTGTCGGTGTCTTTGCTGCAGCTGCTGCCAGAGCCACAGGCTGTGTTACCAGAACGCTGCCCCCTGCAGGCTGCAGCTGCCTCCCCTCCCAAACAGCTCCACGTGTTCAGCTGCAAACACCAGCTGTGGTGAGACTAACTGTTCAACAGTCTAACAAATACGTTTCTGTGCTTTCTTGCTGAGAGTTGGCTGATGCCACTCTTGTCTCTGTGCAATATCTCCACTGGTTGGCTGCACTGGGCCAATGTTCCTTTATGTCACCCACTGTAAAACCACAGATTGTTGTATTTACACTTTGTATGGAATGAACAAAGACACCCTGTGTTAATCAGTGAGGTGCTGGAAGGTGCATGTTTTTCTTTTGCACTGAGTCAAGTTGGCTCTTTCCAGTGTCTGTGCTAAGCGAAGCTAACCAGCTGCTGGCTTTATTTTACCACAGAGACACGAGTGGTACCAGTGTGTCCTATATGAGAGTCCTGGCTTATGAACAGTAACTGATGGCCCCTTTTTGTCTCGGAGATGCTGGAGATTGGTGTGAGCGGAGGTTTTGTGAATGTGACCAGGCTGCCGTGGACTGCATGAGTCAGAGCTCGTACAACTGGACACTGAGAGGCCTCGCCGAGTCGTTCTGTCCTGGCACAAACCAAACAGGTGAGTTCACTGGAGGAGACATGGGAACGAGCAGCAAACACCACACACACGTCTCAGGGCTCAGGGACATGAAAGAGCGAGCAGCAAACACCAGCTGCTGCACACGTCTCAGGGCTCAGGGACATGAACATCACATCAGTCAACATGATTTATCTGTATACATACTGTATGTTTTTGCTTTTAGAAAATATTTCTCAGAACTGTTTACACACACTAAATGTAGGTTATAGATTATAAGTGAAGAGAATATGATGACAACATGTGGAGGTGATTTATTTTACTCAGAACAGTCACACAGACTGAAGGAATCACCAGGACTTTCTGTTTCTGAGCTTATATTAAAATAAACTACCCAAAAATTTAGGGAGCACTCGATCAGCACAGTATAAACACCAAGTCAGTCGAACATCAGGGGCATCAATCTGTCCATTTAGGAAGCACAACTGATTGTGAATCAGTTTCACCTGCTTTGGTGCCAATGAAAATGACAACGGGTGCAGTGCAGAAGCAAGACAACCCCCAGAAGGGAGTGGTTTTACATGCGGTGGCCACAGACACATGCTCTCCTTATCCTTCATGACTGCTTCTTAAGTTTTGTGTTTTGTATCCTTGTCACTACTGGGAGCACGAGGCAGCACCTGCAGCCCAGTCGGGTCGGATGAGCCTGTGACTTCACTCTGATTTTCAGGGTAATTTTGAGTCCAGCGCTCCCTGGGCTGATGATTTCGGTCTCCACTGACCGTTGCTGTGTCATTTTGTTCTAAACAGATTATACAGTGGACATTAGAAAAAGGTTTTCAACTTGAATAATTTGTTCAAGATCAGATTTGTGACTTAAATGCTACCTTAATTTTTTGGGCAGTTTGTGTAGACAATATTTGGAGCAGACATGATAAAATATTATTACTTTATTTATAAATAGCATTAAAACTGGATGAGCACATATTAGAACTCTGATGGTGTAATAATATGATCCTCCTGTAGCTGAGCCTTGTTTGACGCCCTTGTGAATGGATTTAAAGTGAATTAATATCCTATAAAGCTGTGTTCATTAAATTACCTCAGTGCACACAGTGTGTTTTAGCAGTGCTTGGCGTCTGCTCGTCTCCCACGCTGCCTGGCTGTTGTCTCATTAGTTGGACACCGTGGAGGCCGACGGCTCCTATGGAGGGGCAGGTGAGTCTGAGTGGCGTCAGCACACGCCTGTCACATGACGCCGAGTCAGGCCACCCTGAAGACATGACCGCAGCATCACTTATCTCAAGAGGGAGAGTCGGTTTCCAAGTGGGTCAGCAATGTCAGATCTGAGGAGGCGATTGAGTGGGTAGAAACTCAGATGGCTGTGTCGCACCTCTGAGCCTCTCAGCCAATTAAAACCATAACCTCATGACATTGAATCCTGCAGCTTCCTGCCCACACACAGCTGGGGGGGGGGGGAATCAAGGACAGTGAAGTTTCTTTGATCTGGCTCCAAATATAGATGATGTCCTCAGTCTACGAGAAGCAGGAGGACGTTGGAGTGGAGAAGCTGTCGGACAGTTCAAGCAGAGTTTTCTGTCTGAATATAGATTTTACAGATGGCAGCAACCTGCAGCCTCGTGGCTGAGCTCCCGGTCAACTCACAGCACACCTTTGTTTATGACTTCATTTCAACTACCGATGAACACTAGAATGAAACAGTGGCAGGTATGTGAAGCCTAAATAATCAGAGAAATCCAATGAGTGTGTGCCCAGTGTGGACACCAGCATGTGTGAAATCACAATGGTATGACCACAACCTTACCAGCTGGCTTCACTCTCGTGTTCTCATAGTAGTGTAGTTTTCAGCCACGAGCTGCTCAGCAGCGGACAGACAGTCAGAGACCAGCTGGGGAGCACAGTGGAGTGTTTAGCAGCTAAAGAGCCAGATGTTTCCCTCAGGAGGTGGCGTGAGACCAAACATGGAGCCAACAGAGAGGGAGTACTGGGCTGGGGCTCCTCAGGGGACACGCACCACTGTATCTGCTGGATGTGCACATGAACAGCTGTCTGTTCACCATCGTATCGATATAAATTGGACACTACTGTTTGTCAGTGTTGTTTTCACTGCTTATTTCAGTTTTTTTTAAAAGAATCAGTTATTGCAGATGTTAAACAGCTTCCGGCTTCATGTTGATCTGACTCTTTGGAGCACATGCACACTGAACTCCTCTGTTTTCCTCTTTCCAGATGTTCTCTTAGCAGCCAATGACTCTGTGAGCTTCCAGCTCTTCAACTCTTCCCTCCTGTCTGCAGGTAAAAGTCCCATTACTGAGGCTGAGCTCACTTTGTAAAGTTCTCTGTTCCCACTCGATGTTGACTTCATGTGCTTGGAGGGGTAAACAAGAAAACAGCCACTCAGTTTGTGTGAATCCTGCTTGAAAACAGTGGAGCCTTTGACGCCATGAAGAAGCATTTCAGTGTTTTGGGGAATCCTGCTGATAGGCACCGTCTTTCAGAAGAGGTTTCTGAAAGTGTTGCTTCGCACAAAGCAAGAAGCTCAGCTTCATCAAGTATAAAAAAATCTCTTTCAGATCACATTTACTGTTTGTAAACAGCTGGCGGTCCACCATTAGCTGTAATCTGTCAGTAAATCACATTAGTCTAACAAGAAGAAGTGATTCTGGTTCATTCATACAGTGGAGCTTGGTCCCAGCCAGCTCTCTGCAGCTCAGCTGTGACCAAACAGGGAAATTATCTGAGCTCTCACTGTATCTGTCTGCAGAGATGGACTCGCTAACGACCAGCCGAGTGGAGAACCACAGTGACACCACGGGGATGGGCGACGACCTCATCATCCCACCGCCGGGCCCGCCCCCCTCGCTGATGCCTGCTGGTACGCTCACAGGTCACATGATCGACACGGGGGGCAAGTCCTGGGTGATTTAAAGACGGAGGGGTCTGGTTCACTCGCACACTGTCCCATATCTGTTGTTGTCAAGAGGAAGTGTTCTTAATCCGATCGGGGCGCCTCAGTCACAGCGGTTGCTCTCACATCCTCCACATTTGTTGTTTTGGGGTGTTACTAAGCAACGTGGTCACCTGACTGTTCATTAGCCTGTGATGTTACTGCGCTGCCGTGACTGACACCGGTGATTGCGTGAAGTGAAGCAGGAAGTCTCACGACCACTTTAAGGCCTTAATACCAAGTTAAATTTGGCCTCGCTTTAGTCTTGCTCTACCCATGGTTCCTGTGGAGAAGGCTGTCGTGGATGTGTGTGCACATCCCACCATGGTTTCAGGCAGCAGCAGTCTGATGGACAAGGGCCACACGCTGAATAAATGGTCCCAGTAAAGGGGGAACCTTTGTTCAGTATGTGGCTGTTAACTGAGCAATGATACAGTATTTTACTGTGAACGTTAAAACACCAGGCACATGTTGACTGTTTGTCCTGTCTTGTCCTCTCAGGGTGGTTTGATGAAGGTGAAGGTGGTGCAGAGGACACAGACGAACAGACAGCTCACCCGAGTTTCATCTCAGGTAAAAATCTACACCACTCACCGCCTCCTTCCCATCATCTGTGCTTCCTGTGGGCCCTCTCTCAAATACTATTTTGTGGGGTTTCCAAGCGGCTCATAATCCCGTTTGGCTCCAGCCGACCATCCTGCAGCTTCCACAACGTCAGAAATAATTTCCCACTGTTCACAACCTGCTGCTTGATGACTCACTTGGCTCGGACGCCTCCTGTCGCTCTCTAACGTCTCGCTGCGTTGACAGATGTGAATGAGACTGTGACAGAGGAAGCACTCGAGCAGGAAGAGAGAAATGAGGATCAGACAACCCACAGTCCTCCAGCACTCAGCCTGGGTGAGCCAATGACACTGTGTCAATCACGACTCACTGCTGCTCCACGTTTCTATAGAAAGGAACAGTTGGTGATTTATTTTTTCCTCCCATTTTGATGACGCCATTCCTCTAACTGGACAGTAATTCAGCCAAACATTTCTGAATGCTGCTCGTCTGCCACAGGAAATGATGCTTTCTCTCTGACTTATTAGGAATAAAGGAGGAGAGAAAAGAATATGACGTGAAAACAAGATGACACCGTATTGCTGTAGTCTCAGGCTGTGTAGGATTTCAGACGCTTTACACGTTTGTCATCTGACACACACTGAATTCTCTGTTGCAGATTCAGGGCTGAGTCAACTCTCCTCACTGAGCCTTGGAGATGAAAACCTGAAGAGAAATCAAAGTGCAACACCAAGAACATCACACAGTGATGTGACACAGTCCACCTGGACCACAGCTTCTCTGACGACTACACGTCCCAGCGAGCTGACAACTGTGGAAGGTGAAGACATTTGTTATATATTGTTCGTAACATAGGTTTCTACTGCGACTGTGATTTTCTTTGTAAAATCACCTTTGAAATGTACAGAAGCGCATTGTGTTCACCAAAGGAAAAATATTGTAATGAGAAAAGATGTGATGGTGCAGGAGTGAGAAGGCTTCAGAACCTGTTTTAAAGAATCGTTTAGTATCAGAGTAATTGACTGAAAGGTTGTCAATCGCAGCCTGAGGCCTGTTTTATAGCCTGTAGTTTACGTTTGGGAACGGTAAGTAAACCAAAGCTGTTAGGTCATTTTCTCTATGTGCTATCGGGTGTACTGCCAACTGTCACTGAACTACACCGATACTAAAGGGTTTTTAAACTTTTAGACCAGTTCTGTGCCGTTCCAATCCCCTACCTCTGTAGAAATATGTACAACACACTGAGGAAACAAACCAAACACCTGAACATAAAGGTTGCTATGGTTACGATTTATTTCTGATGTTTATTGAACTAAACCTGTCATCAAGTAACAGCAGCATGTGTAACTGTTTTACTGACAATGTATTTTCACTTATTTATTCTCTGTCTGCAGGTTCAGTTATCACACCAGCAAAACACATGGTGCCCTCTTCTAAAGAGGAGGAAGAGGAAGATGATAATGAAAATGGTAAATTGATCCTTTTTTAACTAATGATTTTAGGGATTATTTAACAAACGGTGACTTTAATAAGACTTGTGTCAGCGAGGAAGATGATAATGAAAACGGTAAATTGATCCTTTTTTAACTCTGGTTTTTCTAATTCCAAATGATTTGGTCTGATTATACGACAACAGATTTTAGGGATTATTTAACAAACAGTGACTTTAATAAGACTTGTGTCAGCGAGTACAACCCCTCAACTGGAGCTCTTTATTTGAAGTCTGTCGGTTTGTTTGTATCTTAGCATTTTGTTTTCTTGCTGTTCTTTATTCACGCTGCCGTGCAGTCACAGGGCAGGTAGTTTATGGGTTGGACTCAACCTTTGTTTGTGATGAAGTCTTGTGTGAGACTTCACAGTGTGTACAAACAGCAGCAGTTTAAAGTGAAATCATGGTCAGATTTATTCAGTATTACAGCAGATAATTGATATAAAAACAAATGAGGCAGGTGACAAACAAAAGGCCACAGTATGTACAATAACTAAATCGGACTAAACAAACAGAACGTTAACAGGAGTTAGTGTGCACTGACCTCACAGGTGGTCTGAGACGGGAACGGCTGAAGTCTAAATGTTTTTATTTCGGTTCTTCTTCCTCAGTCAAGATGATGTTCACGGCTGTGTTTGTGACCACAGCTGCCAAAACAACAACAGCGTCGTCCAACAAGGTGGAAGGAAGCGCGACGCCGACCACATCAGCTTCTCACAAAGGTCAGTTTGTGACTGTAATGTGTTACAGCTAGAGAGTCTTCATGTGTGGATTCTTATCCACCTGTTGGTTTCATGATGAATTTTTAAACCCCCAACAATCTGTCGGCAGCTGTTTGGATTAGTCTTGTCAAGACTAGTGTCTACATCTCTACAGTACAGTCCCTGTAAGTTTTGCGCTGTAGTTACAAGGTTTACAAGGTAAAAGTGGCGACGAATATCATTAAAATACCACCAGTGTTTGTCTGCATCTTCTAAACCACAAATGTGTAATTTTATTTAAAAAGAACAGCTGCTTGGTGTAGCAATGGTGCAGTCCACAGCTGTTGTTTGGTGTCCTCACTGCAAACAAGGTGCTGTGCCCATGTTTAATTCCAAGAAGAAAAGTAGAGGAGGTGGGTTCCGGTTGAATCAAGAGGAAAGTGTAAAAGTCTCTGTGTTTGCCGTCTTCAGGTGGAAGAGGTGTCAGCTTCACCTTTACACCAGCAACACCTGCAGGTTCACAGGAGAGAGGAGAGCAGGGTGTCAGCAAGGTGACGGCAACTCACTGGGGCTTGTCTGTAGTACAGACGGCTCCAGCTGCCGCCTCTCAGTCAGATTAGCCGAGGCCAGAGCCGGACGTGTGAGACTGCATCCCCGAGGTGTGGGGGCAGGTCGGGCCCCTTCCCTGGCCTCACGCTGTACGGGGAGGCATATAGGCGCACATACAAGACACGTGAGTCATTGACCTTATGACTACCTGCTCGTGGTCGGCGACTGTATGGGGTCGTGTCGTATCTCACAGACACCAATGGTACAGTGGAAGGGGTGATGGACAACAATGATGAAGGAGCTTCCGCTGTACTCATCCGAGTGAGAAGTGGTGGCTTCCACCTTCCCCCCGATACAGCAGAGCTACTTCCTACTGCAGAACATTGAACCACCGCAACCAGGACACTTTAGGAAAGACTGCACATGTCTGTTTAATGCTGCGAGCACCAGGAGCTGAGTGCTCAGAGATATTTATCACACCTGTGGTGAAATACTGTGCGATCACTTTATTACCAACACCCAGCTCCATTTAACATGGTCTAATCTAACCAGCCTGCACCGAATGCCCTTAATGAGGGCAACAATGTTCAGTTACAAACAGCTGCACTTAAATCAACACCTTGGAGTTTGTGCTGCTGTAAAACACAATACAGTTCAACAGAAACACCAGTCTGCAAAGGGGTTAGAACACAAACTGGACAATACTGTCTCACATCTACTTCAAGGAGAACTGTGCAGGTTACACCGTGAAAACAGCCATTTACTGCTACACATCAGCTGTACCCACCACATGAGACGTCCTTTTTCATCCTCTACATGTTAGCCATCTCAATAAAGACTTTTAAACCCTTCACAAGTGTGCCAATACAAGTTATATACCGCAGCTTTAACTGGAAAACCAGGTATGAACTAAGACTAACAAGGATACCTAATATTATGTTTTGCAGGTCCAGAGCCTCCAACAGCATCTGGGACAACTCCAGTAAGAAGCACCACCCAGATCAGAGGACAACAGGTTGCCTCCATCACACCAACAGCAGCCAAGAAATCTCCCTCACGCAACTTGACTGAGGCTGAATCTGACGAGGAGCCGCAGGAAAAGTCCAGAGCGGCGGTGACAGACAGACTGCCACGTGAGGACGGAGGAGACAGCTCACAGGAGGAACACACAGATGGTAGACTAAACAGAAAAAGTAGTTGATATAAACTGTACTGAATCCAAACAACACTTTCTCTTTCTTACCTTCTCTGTAAGAAGCCTCCTCCTCCTCCTCCTTGCCTGGTTCAATAAAGGTTATTGTATTTCAAAGGGTTTTGGAAGTTTAATGAACTAATGTGTGGCCCCTAATGACGGCCAGCGGCCCATAACAGTCACTACAGCGCACACACACTGTTCCCCAACATAGAGGAATAAGCTGGAGATTTAGAACAGAAACACAGATAAAGCAGCCCAAGTGGAGTTAGTGTTTTCTCTCTAGGCGTCATTGTTGTGGATGAGAACAGTTGTTTTGCTCAGAGTTCAGGTGCCGTGACAAAGGAACTACCAGATTCAGACACGTCACAGAGAAACATGGCAAATAAATCAGGTATAAAAGAGAAATTAGTTTACAACTGAAACTATAAGTTGATGAACAGTGACGAGAAAATTAACTGGCCACAATTTTACTAAGTGATTACTCTAAGTCATTCTCCTGTGACAGCGACCGTGAACCTCTGTTGGCAGAGCAAGCTGCTGAACAAACCAGCTTTTCTTCACTGTTATTGGACATTTTAAAGACCAAACAATGAATCAAGTAAATAACCAGCAGATTAATCAACAGTGTAAACCACTGTTAGCTGCAGCTCCAGGGAGCCTGCACAGAAGACAACAGACCGGTACTACCAGCTGTATTGCTTTTCTTTCCCCTCCCCTCTGGCCTCCGCACTGAGCTAACATGTCCTGGACCAGGACAGGTTTGTTTTACACAGCTGACAGATATGACAAAGGAGCAACAGTGTCAGAACCTCACAGCCCAAGTCAAACCAAAACTGGAACAAGGACACGAGGAGAGCCACACAGGAGGACCAGCCGTGGTCCCTTATGTAACAAAACACCACAGTGTAAACCATAGTACAAACACTTGTCAACCCTCCAGGGAACACTGTTCTATCAGCGAGCGAACAGACTCACTGCGGCTCAACAACACCAAGTAGCAAACGGACTTTAACTGTGGAGTTGAGGTGTACCAGCGTCACACAGGCAGCTCCTGTCGAAGCAGCACAGGTGCTATCGAGGGTCTAGAACAGGATAAAGTGCCCCTCATAAGGAGCAACAGTCAGAAACCCAGACATATTCAACTTCCTGCCACACAGGACAAATCAACACTGAAAGTTTAAAGTGTGACTACAATGAGCAACATCACAGTAGGTGTGTTAAAGAGGAGCCAGTCTTTACTGGTGCACGGCCTCTCATCCACAGTCTCCGTCCTTTGTGCTACAGATCAGTTCCTATGAGGACGTGCTCATGGTGTTGTACACTCACCTGTGTCCCTCTTCTGAAGCTGCTGTGAGTCAAACGTTCCTCAGGAGCTGTTGGTGTGTTGGCAGGCCGGGCTGCGGCCCAGAAGAGGACGGCGCCGCTCTTCGCCTGGTCCCTGCTGGAGGCGGTTGGGTTCAGTGACTTGCAAATAGAGCCAGACACCAAAGGTCAAACAGCACACCAGTAAAGCGTCTAAACCCTGTTTGGAGATGTGCAGTACTTTAATACCCATGTTTCACGTTCCCCACAGAATGCAGTCATTCCTTCACCGTGTACGGCAGCGACGGGCGAGCAGGGCGGGAGATGCCGGCGCTGGGGGAGATGCTCCACTGCCTGACGGGACGATGCCCACACGAATACGAGATGTATGGCTGGCCAGGAAGGCGGCGGGCGGCCGCTGGACCAGCTGGACAGGTCAGAGGTGTTCGTCTGTGGAAGGAACACAAACAGGGAAGAAGAGTGTGTACGTTTTGTAATGGCAGGACAAAAAAGCTGAGATATGATGGGAGAAGAATACAGCAGGATTTGAGGAGGATTTCTCTTAGGAACACAGTGATAAAGCTGTCTGAATTTATGTGAAACACACACACACACACACACACACATTCTCATCAACATGAGTCCAAAACACTGCTTCCACTTTCCACCGATGTTTCTCTCCACCTGAAATGTAAAACTGTTAATTAGTTAAATTCTTCATTAAAGAAAAGTTACGAAGCTGTTTGTGTATCGATCAAAGCAAAATAAAGTGCAACAGAAATAAACTAAATCAAATCTTATATGCAGCATGTCACTGAAAAGACAGTATCAGATGTACGGATTGATGAAGATGCTGTGGCCTTCCTCACATTCACACCAACATGTCAATCCCGTTTCAATTTAATATTTATGTACATCCACGTCTGCCTTCCTCCACCAGGTGCTGCTTCTTCCATCACTGCTGCCTGAAGCAGATCAGCTCCAGGGGCTGCCGGTCAGACAGGAAGCTCAGTGCTCAGGTCTCTTGCGAGGGCGGGAAGCCACGATGTGAGTGCAGACACCAACACACCCGGAAACACGGTCAACAACAACTACAGTACTAATACACGTGTTGGTCAGTACCATGGCGCTGCTTTGGACTGAAGCTTAAATACTCAGCCTGAACCAGGTCGTGCTCGTTTCCTTTGCATGTTTTTTTTTAACCGTGCTCTCTTGGTTTTAATGCATCACTTGGACTTGTGTGCACAGTGTGCTCCACAAACGGCCCCGTCTCACCAGTGTAACAAAGCTTTCCCACATTATCTGCATGTTAAAAACTCACTTCATCTCAAATTCAAAATTAAAAAATACATGAAATTTTTTAAGCCAGAAGGGTCACATGACTCCACTAGTATCAACAAGTCTTTCTACTTAGTCAGTGAGATCATTTCACTATCGCTGCTCTTCTCAACACATCTCCTGGGTCTTGTTCACATTTACCTGTCCTGTCTCCACCTCAGGTCAAGGTGTCACCATTTGTGACAAGCTGCAGTGTCTGTGCGACAAAACTACTGCAGAGTGTATGGCGGCGGCTCACTTTAACCACAGCCTGCCGACTCAGCAGTGCGGTGGACCGGGACCAGCCTGCCGCCGGCCCAGCAGGCCCCCCCAACCGCGGCTTTCCCATCAGTCCAGTGAAGAGAGCGAGGAGCTGCCAGGAGGAAACTCTGACACCGCATCAGCAGACACGCACACACTTCCGCCACACCAGACTGACAACAGGTGACAAGCTACAGTCAGAGCATTTTATTCTAGAACCCACAGAATCTGATCTTAAAACGCACCACAAACCACAGGGGACGCTGCTGCCGTCTGTGTGCAATGACCTCCTGAAGCTCGAACGACGGCTGTGAAGGTTCTCTGTAGTTTAGTGTTGGTTGTCACATAACACTGTCACGCAGGAAGACACCAAACATCCAGAGGTGACTGGTCAACGACAAAACGCAACGTCTGAGAATCTTAAGTCATGTCTGGCAAAATAATGTTTAGAGACATTTTCACACATCTGTTCAGTGTTTACAGATCAAATTATGTCTGGGTTGAATTTATGGAGACAAACGCAGGATGTAAAGTGCATTTAAATGTGATGTTACCTGGTTATTAGCCTTTCGTCACAGTGTCTGGCCTGCAGTGTGTGTGTTGTGTCACTGCTTGGAAAACAGGAATCTGTAAAACAGGTCAACACGACATCTCAGTCTTCACATTCACAAGGTTTTACAACATTTTGATAAAGGTGAATTTACTGTCTGTCTGCAGTGATGAAAGCTCGGACCTGAAGGATGAAGAACTGCCACATCCTCCTCCTCCGGCCTCCAGCGAGGCCAGCAGAGAGCCTCCGGTGCTCAGCGGGATTCAAACTCACAACCACAGGCCAAATGCGGGGCAGAGCCAAGATCAGCGACCAGCAGGGAGACCAGGGACGTCCGGGGTGAAAGATGAAGAGGAGGAGGGGGGAGGAGAGGAGGAAGAAGAAGAGGATGGAAACTAGACACAGACCTACTAAATCCTTGGGCAGCAGCTTTGGGATTTGAAGACGTCCCAGTGGGGCAGTCTGACGGTTCTGGCCCAGTAACAGACGAGCTCATTTAGAGAAATTACATCAAGCATCTAATGTTTTTATGTTCACAGATGTTTAAATGGGAACGAGGGGTGAGGAGGTGACCTTATTAAAAAGTAAATGTCAACCTACATGTCCTGAATCTTCTTTTCACTGAGGCCTGATGGCAGTAAACACATCACAGCCCGCCAGGTTTGATAGAAACACTTTATTTGAGTCTCTGGAACAAGAATCCTAATGCACAGCTTACTATTAAACAGGGGCTGCGTAATGAGGTGCTGAGGCTCTGCTGCTGCTGGGGCTCAAGGAAAACTCTGTACGAGGTGCTGCTAACTGGATGCATTCAAGTGAAAACTTTACATTTATCCTGAGCTTTGAGGGACGTCACATCTGGAGAATATCTTGAGGACAGTCGTGCTCTGACAGTGAGTGGACCTTTGAGGTTAGACTGCGTCACACACACATTATCCCGTGTTCCTCAAGAAAACGATTCAAAGTCAAGATAATCTGACTTTAAGGAAATAATTAACATGCAAAATAGTCGAACGGTGCCACCAGCTGTTTATCATGTAGTCATTTCTAGTTCAACGCTGTGTGGATGAAACTAACCCGGCCAAGACAAAACCAAAGTTGCGCCGGTTTGTGTAGAAAGTGCTAAATTCAGGATTTTGGCTCCTGTGGCATCGTTGAGAACAAAACGCGTGGTCCTAAATCTGAACCTGTTCCCTGAACCTGCAGCTGGAGCAGAACCTCAGTGTACGGCACAAGGCCGAGCTGCGGCAGCATGGAAACGTAACATCACTGTGCACACGGACGTGACACCTTTTACGTCTAGAACTGGCACAGAAACACAAACGGCTGCACCACAGGCAGAAAACACATTACCAGAAGCTCTGTTTTGTTAAGTTCATGTTGTTTTTCTGCAGAATTCAGCTGCTGAACTGAAAAAGGCCCATCTTGAAAAGTTCATCACGTTAACACTCTGACGGTTCTGTGCCCGGCGCTGTGGAGGTGGAGCCGACTGGTGTCAAGACGGGCCTTTTCCTAGTTCTGGACACAACATTTCACAAACTGAACACCAGGGGAAAAAACACCTCTACTTGTACCAAACACTAATCTGCTGTGACTTGTTTTTGCAACAGCACCAGATACACAGTGATCAAAGTGCAAACACAATATCAGGTTTAAACTCTTCAGTGTTCTATGTTAATATGTGGCGATACATCTGCTGCTACTATTCAAATGACTCATTCACTGTGGCTTTACCAGAAGCAGCAGAGACTCGCAGGCCGGCGCCTGCGCCCAGCGAGGCGTCGGGCATCACGGCGGGAGAAGCTGCAGCACAGGACAGACTCAGGTCAGCGGCCTCCAGCCCTCCTCGTCATCTCACACGGGAATCAGATCCTTTTGCTCATACCATTACATTCTCTACACAACATGTGGCTTCCTGTTATTTCACACTGTTCAGATTAAAACATCCACTTCTCTACTGACCAGCTCTTCGCTGTCAGCAGTGCAACACAGAACCTTTAACATTAAGAGTTCAGCACAGCTACCGCCCCCCCTACAGTGATGTGGGGGCACAGGGGACTAAACAGGAGCCTTGTGTTTTTGTCTATATTTGTTTACATGGCAAACTGACAACACTAATATCATGCAGAATTAGCTGTTAGCAGTTCCTGTTTGCAAGTTCCCACAGAAGAAACCGAACTATCCAAGAACACTGATACTGAGGAAAAGTTAAAAACCCAATCATCAAGTCTTTTCTGTGATTTCTGAGTGGCCTGACCTGATCTGACCGAGTTGGGAGGAGGGAGGATTTCCCAATTTCCTTGCAAAGTTTAGAGAGTCTGGATTTCATGTCTGAGACTCTGCTGATGACTGAGTCTGAACCAAAGCTGAAACTTCTCAGGAAAAAAAAAAAAAAAATCCAAATGCCAAAACTAGCCGACTGCACCGATTTAACCCATTTCTCTATGTCTTTCTTTCTTTCTTATGCAAAAATAACCGACATCATCTGACTATACATGTAATTACTTGTTCTTCATACGTGAAATGGGATCATGATTCTACAATTTAAAAAAATGAAGTAACATTTCATACATGAGACGTTTAGCTCCACCTTGATATGTGTGATCAACAAGAATAAATCTCTACCAGGCAACAACACATGGTGCATAAAATGTACAAAAATAGATGATATACTGCTATAATGATACATTCATAGAGGAAGCGATCGTGTACTCCAGCCACATCCAAACCAACAATTCATCTACTGTTCTAATCAGACTTTTCTCCAAACAGGTTCACTGGGATAAAGTGAAAACTCCGGGCGTTTCCACTGAGCTGGCTCATGGTTCGCCTGTCTGAAGAAAAACACAGTAGATGAAACAAGTCCCCCCGTGGGAGGTTGTTCACGCAGTCATTTGTTCCTAACAGTGATCGCAATGTGATGTGAAATCATAAAAGTTTGCATTTAAAGCTGAAATGTTAAGCAGCGTAGATCTGCACAAAGACTCTGCACCAGTGCAGACTGGAAAATAAGAAACGTAGCGATGTGGGAGGTTCCTAAGGGACCGCTACGATGTGCAAGGTGATGGTGATACTGCCTCCAATCAGCTCTCTTGTTCCTGTGCCCCACCTACAGTTACCCATAACCCTCTGTGTGAATTTGCACAGAGGTCTACATGCATCACCCCAGAAGAGCCCAGGAAAAACATTTACACGCCTACTGGTCCAAGTTCCTCTGCTGGTGAAGACCAAGTGACAAGGAACAATTGTTTTGTCCCTGTTTTTGGTCGATTTGCTCACGGGGGAGAAGCTGGTGCTGCTACTCCCTGATCACATGACCTCCCACCTGCACATCGTCTCGGTCCG